CTGCATTATCTACTTCTCTGTACTGTAATAGAACACCATGACCAAAGGCGTTTTTAAGGAAAGGGGAGTTTATTACAGCTTATCGTTCCAGAGGGGAAGTCCATGAACACAAACCAGAGCGTGAACTGCAAGGAGGATGGTGCTGTACACTCCCCAAGCCTGTCCCCAGAGATGTCCTTCTTCCAGCAAGGCTGCACCAGGTGAAGGTTCTATAACCTCCACAAACAGAGCCACCACGAGGGGGTGTGTGACATCCCTCCACACACACCGTACCACACAACACACACGTGTGCACACATACACATATACTCACCTCAGATAGTGAGCTCACGTACAGATACCACCAGAGAGCCTTTGGGTTACTCAGAGGGTTATGGGCAAGAGGTTACTTACAGGAGCAGGAATGACTCACAGGACAGCTGTCCCACCAAAGCCCACCCCAGCATGGGAGATAGTTCACAAAGCTGAGAACCTGGAGCACATTGCATAGCCTGGCAGGCAGTTCAACAGGTTTGAAAGTGACCTTTTGAGGTGGCTTAGTTAGTCTCAACAGTTTCCAGGTAGGTCAGCTGGTCATCTTCTTCCAGGCAGCTGGTCTGGTTTGGTCTCAAGATATACTCTCTCATAAGCAAATATTAGCCATACAGGATGACCATACTAAAATCCACAGACCGAAAGACACTAAGTAACAAGGAGACCCTATAGAGGATGCTTAATTCTCATTCAGAAGTGCAAACAGAACGGACACCAGATGTGGTTGAAGAGAGGGAACAGGATGGGAGCCTCCCATAGATGTGTCCTCTGAAAGGCTCCCCCCAGCAGGGGATGGAAGCAGATGATGAGACTCACAACCAAACTTTGGGCAGAGTGCAGAGAGTCTCATGAAAGTGTCTGTATGTGTGTGTGTGTGTGTGTGTGTGTGTGTGTGTGTGTGTGTGTGTGTGTGTAGCTTATAAGGATCCAGAGGGGTCTGGAGCTCCATAAGAAGACCAACAGAGCCAACAAATCTGGGCCCAGGAGAGAGCCTGTGGAGACTGATGCACCAACTAAGGACCATGGGCTAGGAGGACCTAGACCCTTTGCTGAGATGTAGCAAAGTCTCCATGACAGCTCAGTCTCCATGTGGGTTCTCTAGTAAGGGGAGCAGGGGCTGTCTCTGACATGAAATCTGTGCCTGCTCCTTGATCACTTTCCCCTAGTGAGGTGGCTTGTCAGGCCACAGAGGAAGAGGATGCAGGCAGTCCTGAAGAGACTTGATAGTCTAGGCTTGGTTGGTAAGGGAAGAGGGCTCCCCCTTTCTGAGGACTAGGAGATGACAGGAATAGGGCTGAAGAGTGAGCAAGGATGGAACTTGAAGGAGACAAGGGAGGGGGATTGGGATACAAAATGAATAAATTAAGAAAAGAGAGTAGCTTGGCTTGTCTGAGAGTCACTCTCAGCAGCTTTTCTTGTAATAGTTTTGGGAGGTAGAAGCCTACTTGGTATAGTCAGTTTCAGGAACTTCCTGAAGTATTTTGAGTTGGTTAACTTCTGTGTGAAGGGGCTTCCCAGCAGAGTGGAGTGTTTCAGTCACCGAGGAAACTGCTCTACAACATGTGGGGACCAAGTGTCCAAATGCCCGACCTACAAGAGACATTCCATAAAACAACCAAGGAAGCTGTATAAGCCCCCCAACATACAAATATGAAAAATCAAGACACACTGTGATCAAAGAGCTCAAAACCTTGGCAAGAGTGCAGGAAGGAAGGGAGAGAGTACAGCAGGCTACTTTCTCGTGGCTCTTGGCTGTTGTTGGGCTGAAGGCAAGAACACACTGGGGAAAGGGGAAAATCAACTCAGAACTCCACATGCCATGAAGCAGCTTTCAGATGTGACAGTGAACTTAGTACTCTCTCAGGGACCCAGAAGCCGGAGCAGCTCTCCTGTCATAGGTGTGAGAGGAGGAAAAGAAGCCAGGCTGCCGCACAGAGAAGTACACTCCAAGGGCCACTGAGCACCGAGACCTGCGGTTGCCTCTTGCTGTTCCAATCTCATGCAGAGTTGATGGATCAAATAGTGTTCAACATTGTGGGGCTTGTCCGTAACTGTAAATGTAATTTGTGGTGACACAGCTTGTCACATACGGGCCGGCAGGGAGGGAGCTTGCTGTTCTTCTTTCCTTGCTTCAGCTGAACTGAGAATGCCACTCCCGGGCACCTGTGCTCAGTTACAGGCAACTACTGCACACCTTAAAGCAACCTCTCAGTATTGTGGCTAAGGAACCAACAAAAGAAAAATACATACTTATAGAAGTATTCAGTGGACACTAGCATTGGGGGACCAAGTGAAGAACACAAGAACAGCTGTGAGGTCATGCAGCTCTGTACATTTGAACTTGCCTGCTTTGTGCCATGGCCCTGGTGACGCCACCTCCTTGCCCAGCACAGATCTACAGAGAGCTGAGTGAGGCAGAAGAGGCCAGGCCTGTGGGGGTGGGGCTAGCCTGTGCTCCTGCTTCAGAAAAGATGTAGCCTCCAGCTGGAAACAGTCTTCCCCAGGGCAGAGGGAGAAGAGGCAGGCATGGCATGCCTGCTGGGCTGATGCTGGAGACTGATCCAGGAGCCTGCCAGGGGCCAGGAGGCAGGGAGGTGGACTACTGGAGGTCTGGGGGAGGATGATCTGGTGCTGGCTGACATGGCAGATTTGGAGACGTTTCTGAAGACAGTGTGATGTGGGCAGCCAGCGCCCACAGCGGCTCAGAGGCTCTGACCTATTTGACTAATTCCCATCTCCTTTCTAGACATAAACAAGGGGCTTAATGAATCGAAAAGCCCAAAAGCAATCAGAATTCAGAGCGTGCTGTCAGCACTCCCAGCCGTTAGTTGCAGTCTGCTGGAGAAGTCTTGACTCTCATTAGCAGTGTGGTTTATGTATCTGGGTTTAGTCCAGGCGCACAGAAGAGCCTGCATGCCTTTCGTTCCTCTATCAGAAAGCATCCCCACTGGTGGGCCAGGCTGGTGTGGAGGACCGGCCACTCGGTGCAGCTGGGTGCTGCCCACATCCAGGCAGGCAGCCTTTTTTTCTGGGAAGAACTATGAGCATGGGGTCAGCTAACTGCAGTTAATTGGTTGATGTCATCTTGACATTCTCCCATCCTGTCTCCATCATGGCATTCCACATGGGTCCTTAAGTCCTGGAATCTGTGTCCCATTGCTTTGACTTTCCCAGACCCTGTTCAGGATCTGTGATGCCTGGTCCCTCCTCTGGCGCCTCTCAAAGCTTCTGTGGCTCTTGCAGACTTCGAGTGCAGGCCTGTTAACCGCTCCGACACACTATCTGTGGATTTGCTCTGTTCTTTACAGTTGTAAGGCTCAGATGCCCCCAGGGCCTGGTTTCCTTGGCCATATTCTTGCTAACCCTACCAGTTAATCCACGGGGTGAGACCCACACCTAAGGTGCTTCCAGCTTCAGACTTCTCCTCCTGGACATCTGTGGCACAGCTGATGGCAAAGGTTATCTGACAGCAGAATGGCTGCTATGGAGAGCCTGGCCATTGTAACAAGTCACAGACTGACCACTCTGTAGGCCAGGAGCCAGACATGGCACCCCTATGCTAAAAGGTGGGTGAGGCTGGACCCGGCTAAGGGGATCATGCCTGACTCTTCCATCCTCCCAAGGCCACATTCTGCTCTTGTGTTCAGCGTCCATATCAATGCAGGATGCATCAATGCAGGAGCACCCTTTGCCTGTTCCACAGACCTTCCTGCCTTGCCCCATGCCTGTGCTCTATATCACATCACTGCAGACACTGTGTGTGTGTGTGTGTGTGTGTGTGTGTGTGTGTGTGTGTGTGTGT